TTTATATATATATATATATATATAATTTAAATGAAAAATGGGACTTTAAATATTAAAGTTGATTTAAAAACTGTTGTGAAAAGTTGTATGAAAAAGAAATATGAACTACAAATGACGCTGTGTCTGTCAAATGAATGCAATGGAAATAAAATGCGCAAGATGTGTTTCTCAAAACCAAACAGATTACATTGTATTTGCTTTTTATTTTTTATTTGGTGCTAAATTCTGAGCAAAACCTTGCAAGATCACATTTCACTTCAGTTCTGATTCAAATAAAAGCAGCGAGACAAACAAACAAAAAAAGAACGTTTTATAAAGCTGTGTTTTGTGGTGTTGATCCTCCTATAATACATTCACACTGAACTGTCACACAAAATATATGAGCCTCAGATGTTTGGCACTTCTTTTATCTTCCTCTGACTAACTGCATGAGTTATCAAACATGTCTCCTCAACAGAGATTTTCTAAACTGGGACGAATTTCTGCACCGCTGCCACCTCGTGCAGAAACAAACACAGAAAGCCAGAGGGTTCACGGAAACAAATTCTCCCGTCATCTTCTCTGTTTCTTGCCGGGTCTGCCTCAGCACCTGCTGTCAGCAAAGGAGCAGGTCATTCATCAGAAAATAGATTAAATCTTTATCCACTGAGTGTTGGGAGTACTTTATCTGGGATAGAGAAATAAAATCAAAGTGTGTGTGTAGGGTGTATATGCATGTGTGTGTGTAATCCATGCTTCGAAGCAATGGAAATCTTTTTTTTTTTTGCATTTTTTATCACACCCCAACATGCAGACAACTTGCAACATTGTACGCCAGAAAAAAAGGGTGGTAAACAGAGGATGTGCTCCCAAAATAACACAGACAAGGTGTGCAATTCAAGAAGTGCATGATATATATTTAGAAAGCCAACAACTGTAAAAGGAATTTTTTTTTAAAATAGAGTTCCTGCAGCACCATTGACTCCTTTGTTCAGTTGCCTCTATTGTTTGTTTATTTTTTGCTTTGGCGCCATCTACTGGCCAGAACTCGCTAGTGCAAGAGAAAGAGGTGGCATGATGGGGGCCAGTGATGATCTTTGGGCAGCTCACTTAAACTACAAGCAATAACAGAATTTCATTAGTTTTATTATGCTGTTGTATAAAATAGGCTATCATAAAAACACCACAATACATGAGTTAGGGTGATTTTGCACTATGGTGTTGGGAGACTAGTTGGTGACTCAAAATTGCAGAAAATGACAATATGTGAATTTTCTGTTGAAGTCTCACTGAAACTTGAATGTTTGTGACCAGCAAGCCATGTGGCTGCACTTTGAGCAGCCATCAGTTAGATCGGTCTTTCAATAAGAAGGTGCAGGATCACCAGCCTGAGGCCTTAAAGTTTGCAAGTTCTTCTCATGCATGCATGGGTCCTCTCCAGATAGTCTGGTTTCCTTCCAAACCATGAATGTTAGGTTTATTGGGAACTTTAAATTGCCACTAGGTGTGAGTGAAAGTGTGAATGTTTGTCTCATTTGTCTCTATGTGTCCATGTGATGGACTCGCGACCTGTCCAGGGTGTACCCTGCCTCTCTCACGGTGACTGCTAGACATGTGCACCAGCTCCCCCATGACACGGAAATCAAAAAGAAGTTAAAAAACTAAATAGATGGCTGGTCTAGGTTTGTACACATGACTTGCAAAACTGTATTCCTGGCAATGCATTTTATTTTATTGTCTAAATCAGCTTGTTTTGAACACACCTTGGCTGTCGCCTCCACATTTACGATCATTCTGCTTAAGTGCACTTTTAATCAGCGTTCAGTGCAATAGTATGTGTACCATAATTAAAATTAATATTCAGTTTTAGAATAAACCCTGTGAAATACAGAAAAATAAAAAGTTAAACTAAAAACAATATCATAATTGTATTTGAGGACAAAAGTAAAGTTGGACAAAGTATTTTTTGGATGGATTATGAAGAAAAACTATGTATGCTTACCTTTTGTCTCCATCTAAAATAAATAAATGAGTAAATAAAATGACCATGTGCATATTTCTGCAAAACTGATCTGTTGCAGTTTGAAGAGCCACATGTTCTCCACATATAGAAAAATGATGCATTGAGTTCTTCGTGGAGGCAAGGGATCTATTACTGTAAAAAACATCAGAAAAGGGAGGAAGGGTGTTTTGTTTATGCACAATGAGTTAAAAAAAGCCAACATAATGAGCAGCGGAGGCGAAAGTCTCTCCACTTCAGTCCTTCAGCGCTGTGAGCTAAAGGATGCTTTGTTCCTGTGTGCATCACAATTAGAGGCTACATTTGAACTGCTATTAGTGCTGCTCTTCTTTAAAATCTGAAACAAAACAAGGACTCTTGTCAAATGCAAATCATCTGCTCCATTTTTTGTTCTTTTAACTGCAAAAGGACAAAGTGTTTATGTACCAGAAATACGTCCATTGTAGCCTCTTCCAATGAACAACATATTCTTCAAAAGGCTTCAGTGTAACATAATTATTGTTTGTTTAAATATTTGTTTAATCCTTGCATTTTTTTTCAGCAATAAACATATCTTTATGTGCTTTATTCATCAGTTTAAGGGCACTTTTTCTCAGAGAATTAGAAAAAATAGACAGTTGTTAAAAAATTGTAGGGTGTTTTTTGTTTTTTGTTTTTTTTAGAGGAAAACACATTATCTACTCAAATCCAGCTTTATATTTATTCTGAGATTTCAGTTAAGTAGATTCTACTAAATATATTTTTAGACCACATGCTTACCGATAATCTCACTTCATGAATGATATAACATTAGATCTGGATAGTTGTGTTAACAGGAAACAAGCTGGAAAAGGAGCTTTTAAACTGTAGGACTCACAGTAGAGGCATGACGGCAGTGCAGAGGTTGGAGCTGTCGCCTCGCAGCGAGGAGGTCACAGGTTCACTTTGTAGTTTTTGTATGTTTTTCTTGTGCATACATGGGTTTTCTTCAGGTACTCCGGTAACAAAATTGCCATCAAATGAGAGTGAGAGAGTGCATGGTTGTTTGTCTCATTTGTCTCTGTGTCCCTGTGATGGACTGGAGACCTGTCCAGGGAGTCCCCCACCTCTCACACAGTGACTTCTGGATATTGGCACCAGTGACCCCCATGACTCGGAAAGGAAGAAGCTGGTAAATAGGATGGATGGTTGGATGGACGGATGGATGGACGGAGTGCAACACCTGGAAAAAATACCATATTTTGTAGAAAATGTGAAAAGCTTTGGTTTGAGTTTTAAGAGTGATATCATTTGAATAGTGATGTGGTTTATTTTTGTCAACAGCTTCAGTCTCCATTAAGAGAAGACTGAAGTGACTCAAGTCCGCCTGAAAGACTCTTTGTAAACCTCACAACTTTCCAAAACAACTGAAGCACTGCAGGTGATGGTGGGAACTATTAGGGGAAGATTCTTGTAAAACATTTACTAAAATCATTATCACTGTGGGCGCTCAGAGAGTGAGACTTATTCTCAGTAAACAAAGTCAAAAAACAGTTACATTATGAACTCCAGCAAAAAAAATTTAATTGTCCAAACAATGCGCAGACAGAAATAAGTCGGAATGTGTTGTGTTCTGCAGAAGTAATGGTTATTGCATAGTAAGGGCACTAGAGGGCAGTCTAAGAATATATATAT